TGGCTATTTTTCTTTTCTGGCAGAGTGGGCCTCCATATAATGGCAGACGACAGACAGACAAGGTGGGGGTGGGTGGGCCTCCATAATGGCAGCCGACAGACAGGCAGACAGACAGGGTGGGGGGGGGTGGGCCTCCATATAATGGCAGACGACAGACAGACGAAGTGGGGGCGGGGCTTTCTCTAGGTTCTGATTTTATTTATTCATAAGAGAGACTTTTGCTATAGGGTGCATGTGTTCGCCAGAGAAAGAGAGATAGCGGGAAAGCACGCCCCGCAGGGGGTTGGCCACGCCACGGTCCCTTCTTCCTCATTCTGCTCTTAGGATCTTGGGCACGCATGCATGGGAGCCCAGAATTTTAAAAAAAAAAATTTTATTTTATTTTATTTTTAAATTTTGATTTGACCAGGGAAGTGGGGAGAGAGAGAGAGAAAGTGAGAAAGCAAGCTGCCAGGTCTGGGACTTGAACCACAGTCGGCCACATGGGAGTCCAGCGCCCTTAACCACCACACCACCTGCTGGCCCAGAGCCCAGAGTGTTTTAAGCTGCCGGGTCTGGAACTCGCACTGTGGTCAACCACGTGGGAGTCTAGCGACGTAACCATTATGCCATTTGTTGGTCCCTAGTTTCTGATTTTAAAGGAAGCATATATTGGTTTTTTGTTTGTGTGCTAGAGGGTGCGAGCGCTTGCTGGAGAGACAGAGAAGGAAGGTGAGAGAGCATTCCGCATGGAAACGGACAGGCCCTTGCAATCCTTTCTCCTCCATTTCTCCTTCCTCTCAGGATTCAGGGCATGCACACGCACACACACCCAGTGTGTTTCCCAAGCGGCCAGGTCTGGGATTCGAACTGTATAGTCAGCCATGTGGGAACTAATACTTAATCACCATGCCACCAGCCAGCCCACTTTGAATATTTCTAAGTGTAATTTTTTTTAGAGAGATTTTTGCCATAGGTGCATGCGCTTGCCAGAGAGACAGAGATGGACAAGTCACTCCCCAGGGGATGGCCAGGCAGCAATTCCTTCTCCACTCTCCCCTCGGGGTTTTGGGGCGTGCACGCACATGCACCTTTGCCTCCATGCCACCTGCTCCTCGGCTCCCCTGCGAGGGCTGGGGCTAGCCCGTGTGCTCAGGAGGGAGAGGAGCCCGGCCACGTGGAGTAAATGACTCCGTGACCCCGATATCGCCCCGCCTGTGTTTACCAACCCGTCTTGACTGGGGCGATGCCACTCGCACTCTGCTGCTCTGGGCTGGGGAAGTTTCAGGATCAGGCTGACCGCAACTTGCCTCGTACTGTGTCCCCTGATGTCAAGGTACATTCGTCACAACATGTGGCTGGCAGGTGTCCCCCTTCTGCTCTCGGCCTATGTGACAATGCAGTTGCGTGTTCGGCTCAGACCTGTGTGTGGCCTTCAAAGCGGACCTAATCCCTGCAGTGTCAGGATCACTCCCGGGTGGCACTCGGGCTGGAGGACGAACAGGTCTGCCAAGTGCCCGCTCCCCGAGCCACGCGCACCGGCCCGTCCCAACACGAACTCACCGACACTTGAGAAGACAGCGAGGCACGCGCCGTCAGCGCCCCCCGCGGAGAAGTGGGGGGGCAGTGGGGGCCCACATCCCGGGCCCCCTGCTTAAGGTCCGCGCAGGACAGAGCACTTTTCAGCCAGAGATTGCTCCAGCTCGCCCCCAGCCCCACCCAGTTCCTTGATAACGAGGGAATGAGGAATGGAGGGGAGTCTCGTGCTGGGGGGACACAACTCAGATCCAAATGCCAGAGGGAGCTTGGGGAAGTGGGCCCTGGGAAGGGCGGGACCCAGGTGTGGTCCATGACCATGACTGCTCCCCTAGGGGACCCTGAGGCCAGGGTGGATCACAGCAGCTGCTGCCCACATTCCTGGTCGAGAGGCTCAGGCCTGAGGCTCATGCCCAACCTGCCACGTCTGGTGCCCGGGTGCTGGGGCAGGCCAGGCTCCCGGCGTTGCTGGCAGGTAGACAGCAGTGAGGGCCCAGGAATGACGGGCCTCCCTCTGGGCGCCTGTGCTCCCTGGTCAGATGGACAGCGGCAGGCCATGGGAACCCACGGCCCGAGTGGTGGGGTCATTTGCTCAAGGACCCAACTGGCCTAGGAGGGACCCAGGAAGGCTCCATCACCCCACGAGGTTGATGGGAGGTTCTGCGGCCCTTCCTGGCATTCTGGGAGCTCTATGAACAGCTGACAGGAGGGTGGGCTGAGCTTCTGCAGCCCGGGAAGGCCTGTCCAGCTCCTTACTCCGCTTTTGCTACGTGGCGCGTGCGCTCACTGGGGAGACAGCGAGGTGTGCGAGAGGGACAGCGCGAAAGCACCTGCCACAATCCCTTCTCAACTCTCCTCTGGGGATTCTGGGCACACACGCACACATGAAGGTCTGGACTCAAACCATGCACTTGGCCATGTGGGATCCGGGGCCTTCACCACCACGTCCGAACACTGGTCCCTCACCTTTAAAGAGACAGACGTGAGCTGCTGCCTTCTGAGATGGGTGATGGGAGGCCAGCCAAGGTGGGGTCCCAGGGAGGTGCCCCCGCCCAGGTAAAGAGGTGCAGAGTCCCTGGGTGCTCCCAGGCTGTCTGGAGGGTACCTCCTGGAGGGTGAAGGCCAGGGACTGGGGACCAGGGCAAGGTCCAGGGGGTCTCTGGCCCAGCCAGCTCTAGGCAGCTGATGCTCGGTACTGGGGGCGGGGCCCCTGGAGCCCTGGGAGATGAGGAGCCCCCGGATGTGTTGGGTCCCACACCTTGCTCCGTGTGGAGGAGACATAGCCCATGCGGGGCAGGGCAGGGTCCAGAATCCACAGGTCCTCCTTGCCTGGTCCCTTGTAGGGACAGGTTCTGAGCAGGCCTGAGGCCCGAGGCCAGGCCGGGCCGGACCAGCACTGCCCATGCACACACGTGGCTCACGGCACACACACGCGGGTGGCTTTCGTCTGTTTATTCTTTCATATAAAAGTTACACGTTTGAAATGTCTGCAGGAAGATGCCACGATCAGACGGGTTAGTCGGGGACATATCTTACAATGTAACACTGGGGGATCCTTCTCCACTGGGGGCTCAGGTCACACAGGGGCGTGCCAGCAGTCTTCCTGGCTTCCCCGCCCCTGCAGGCGAGCACTGGTCTCCTCTCCAAAGGAGATGAGTTCCACCACCTGCCCCGCCCCCCCAAGGGACAGACAGGCCATGGCCAGGCAGCAGCACCGAGCACTGGGCCTGGCGCACCAGAGGCAGGAGGGTGGGGACCCACAGCTACGTGGGGCCTAGCTGTCTGCACATGGGAGCCCCCAGAGGAGACGGCCGCCCCACCCGCCCGGCACTGCCTGCCTACCTCCTGGGCTCTTCCGCTCAGACCCCCAAGGCTCCTGGGGGGCCCAGGGGTCACGGCACAGCATCTGAGCCAGGGACAACGTCTGCCCTGAACCAAGGGAAGGTGCAGAGACGCCCGTTCCTGCCGCCGGCACCCACTGTGCTGCAGACGGGATGCCTCGGGGCTCCCGAGCACAGGGAGAATTCGGGTTCACGTGACCCCGGGGCCGTGTGTGCAGAGTGGCCCCCACACGCACAGGTACCACAGCACCCAGCAGGGGAGACGGGGGCTCCCAGAGGCCATGGTTGAAATGAAAGGACTGGAAATAGGGAACTGACACCCCCCACGCGGCACTGCTAACAACCAGCGCCTCCACACGCACTCCTTAAATAATAAAGTGACAGGGTTGGCCGCCCAGCAGGGCTGCCCGCGGCCAGAGGCCTCCCCGCTGTGTACAGGACCGACGGCACCACACGAGGGAGGAGGGACAGCGATCTTGCCGAAAGCTTCTCGAAAACCCAGGAAGGACTCAAAGCGACACGCATGTTGAAGTCTCACTCGTCAACGGATGTCACCGTCTGCTGTCCTCCTTGTCCTGCTGGAGCTGGGCTGGGCAAGCATGGGCAGGCCTGCGCCGACCAGGTCCCACCAGGAGACGTGAGCACTCCCTCACGGGTGGGGCAGGGGGGCAGGGCGAGGCGGGCGGCACGTCTGGGCTCCTACCAGCACCACACCACCCGTGCGGCTGCCCCACGCGTGACCACCCCAGAGCAGGCCTGGAAAGGCCCAGCGGGCACCTGTGTGGGGGGCC